TGTTTTCAATTTCAATTTATGCTTGCTATTAATATTACTCATATAAATAAATAATTAGTGATCATAAATATATATAGTATAAGACAAATTTACTTTACTTTGTGTAATCTATAGGTGTAAATAATAAAGATTTCATTTTCTGCTTTTACATTTTATTATTCATATTATACAAAAAAATTCAGAGAGCTGAGAAGATTTATATATTATTTGAAGAAATAGGTCTAGATAAAATCAGATATACTAAATCTTATTTCTAATAACTAATTTTGTGTGATCAATTATTCAAAAATTCTTGTTGAATAAATAGGAGCTGTATGATATGTGAATTGTATATATATTTCACATTATTTTTTCTGACTTATTGTCATTCTCAAAATGGTTGAAATTAATGATCTGCAAGATGATAATCAAAAACACACTAAAAAAATACACTTAAAATTAATATTTTTACTCTGCTATTAATGTTAATCTATATGTATTTTTTAATAGCCTTACAATGAGTTTAAAATGAACTACACATAAAAAAGTTACATATGAAGGAAAATATGTAATCAGTACTTGTTTCTTATATCAAAAATGCTTTAGTTGTCAAAAATAACTATTTGATAAAAAATGTATTTATGACTTAACTGAACGACTGTATTTTAAAGACAAACATAATATAAGGAAATATTATACTAAAGTTTATAATCTAAGTACAACAAGTAGAGTTTATAAATAACCCTTTATAAATGAATAAAATAAAAGATGCAAACAAAAGTTTTTTATATAATTTAGACTTTTCGTCTAAATTTAATTTTTCTTTATATATCATATATCATAATCTTATAGTAAAATTAAAAAAAAATCTATTGAGCCTGATAAAAAGGAAAAAAAATTAAAAAAAGTATCAAAAGAAGTTGAATTAATAATAGAGAATAGTAATATAAATGAAAAAGAAGTAACAACGCTAAAATGATTTTAAAAAAAGGAATATTAAACATAATAAAAGAGAATTTAGTGAAGAAGTTTATGGAGTAGAATCTAGTGAAAAAGATGAGAATTCTAAAGTGAATAATATAGTATCAGAAATTTCTTTAAAACTTATAATAAATCAAAAGGTGAAGAATAGTCTTGCAAAATGGATAGTTATTCAAAAATCCATTCTTAGAAATTTTTAAAAGATTTAAATTTATATATCCAGTAACAACTAGATCAATAGATTGAATATGATGATTATATTATTATATATAAACAAATAAATGATAAAAGTTTGAGCACTCAACTTTCAGATGAAAAGGATTAAAAAAAATTTCTGTTAGAATATTAAAACACAATTTCATAAAAAAAGAGATAATAGTATTTGCTATAATCAAGTTTAATGAAAATGAAAATGATATTATTTAACTAAAAAAAAGGTATATTATATAATGATAATATAAGGTCTTTGCAATAAAAAGGGAGAAAACTCAAAAAAAAATAAAAAATGAGTTAATAATAAATCTAAACAAATTATAGTATTTAGAACATTTTTGGCTTATAAACTAAAATTTTAATTTTTTTAGAGTTTCCTCCCTTTCTATTGCAAAGACCCCATATTATTTATTATTTATAGATATACAATATAATTTATATTTTTAATTATATTAAATAATTATTTATTTTAAAAAAAGTAGGTGATATAACTAATACTATTGATATTACTGATACTTTACAAATATCAAGAAAAAAAAGAAAAATTAAATACTATTCAAAAAAAGCAAATCTTTCTGATAAAAGAACTAAAATTACAATAAATATAATGTTGCTAACTCAAAAAATTATTATGAATACATGATAAAATATATTATAATACTAAATCATATCATTTATTTTTAATGTCTTGATATTTAAATACCTGAACAATTGTAAGTTTTTTATTTATAATATTTAAATTTATATTTATTTTTTAATTTTTTATTTACTTATTTCATGTTTTATAAATATAATTTAGGAACATAATTTAGTAACAATTAATATACCATTAAGTTTACTCATATTTGCTAATAAAATAGTGAGAAGTAATCAAAGTATTTCACAACCTTTACCATCTTAAGCATCTATATTACAACATATATTATTTTCATATCTAATCACTATGTATTCTTATTTTTTTAAGTTGTTTTACCTTCTCAAGTTGCCTTACTTTCTCAATTTGCTTTACTTTCTCAAGCTGCTTTATTTTCTCATTTTTATCTTCTTAAACTCCAGCTATAATAGAAAAATCTATTTCAAAAATTGATGAATTTTTACAAAATTTGAATAACAAATATAGCAAGAGAAGATTCATATGTTTTTTAGATAGCTTCTTAAATGAATCTATTAATATACTAGATATTATAAATCTGAATAATAGTATTGTATTCAGTTCTTTCATTTTATATAATTATAAACAATTTGTATTATAAGTAATTAAGTAATTATTAAATAAAAAGAAGTAATTGTTATAAAAATTTATTTAATAATATCAAATTGATTAGTATTGCCTTAATATTAGCATTTTATACTTTTGCTAAATCAATATATTAAACTAAGTAAATGCTAAATTCTAAATCCTAATTATTTAAAACTATACAATTATAAAACTGTTACATAAAAATTGTATAAAAACTACTAATAAATCAGAAATTAAAAATAAAATAATAAAATGTGTTACAAAATGTGAATTATAAAATTAAAAGAATGAAAATTGAAAATGATCATGAAGATATAAAGGAAAGATAGCGAAGGGAATATTTTTTAAAGAAATATACTAAAGACGAGCATGAATATTAAGCTGTTTAGGATTTTTAACTCATATTTATAAAAGATTATTAATTAAGCCAAACTGATATCTTATTAAACTGATATTTTGACAAACTGACACCTTGACAAACTAGCAAATGATCATCAAAGAGACTAATTGCAATTATCAAGAATGATCTTTAAATAAAATTATGAAGATTTCAACCAGAATTTACATTTAATCATAACAATAATAATTTTATTAAATTAGGCGTTAATAGTATTAGTATTAGAAAAAAATTAAATCAGTGAAAAACTATGCATAATTTTGATTTTTTTTTAAAATTACATAATAAATATTTTCTATAAAATAATAATTACTTTATTTTATGTATTTTTTGCTTATTACAAATAAATTGAAGATTTCGTCTAAATAAATTTTTTTAAATTTTACTAAAAATAAATTGATTTTTTAAAAAAAGATTTTGCTATTATAGGCGTTATTTATAAACATGCTATTACAATTCAATGTTATAATAGCAAATTCAGGATCAAAGCAAGTTTTTATAAAATTCTTATTTTTTTTAATCCAACTTTTTACTGTAGAAAATGCTAGTTCTATTAAATTAAAATCTGGTGAATATAGAGGAAGAAATAATACTCTATAATCAACACTTTTTATTACATTGATTATTTCTTTATTATGATGAATTTTAGCGTTATTCATCACCAGTATACTGCTTTTTTTTAAGATAAAGATTCATAAAAGGTAATTATAAATTGAAAACAATTAGAAATTACAATTGTAAATATAAATATAAATTATACAAATATAAACATAAACTATTATACTTATGATATGAGATAAAATAAAAGAGTAAAATCTTTTTTTAAAACAATTACTTTTCATAATATTATATATAATAAATCTATCTAACGTAAGTGCAAGTAAAATAGTATACCTAATATCTCTTAAAAAAAAATACTTTTTAAGATACTCTTTGATTTTTAAATAAATATCTATAAATATATAATAAAAATCTTTCATCTTTAGTAGTCTTAATTAAAAAGATTAATTGTTCTGACTGATACTTCATTCTAATAGTAAAAATATAATCAACTCTTAGCAATTCACTCCTTTCTTTTGCAACTTTTTCAACTTGATTTTAATATAAAAATAATAAATAGACTAATTAATAATCTAAATATTTTTAATAAATGAGATATATGATAAATTGCAATTTGTATTTAACCTTTTTTTCTTGTTATTTTACAAAATTTTAAAGATCTTTATAAAATAGATATAGAAACCTCTTTTTCAGTTTTATTAATCATCTCTCTAATAATTTTGTCTAAATAATAATTAGAATATTCTTTAATAATTTTCTGTAAAGTATATATTAACATTAATAATTATAATAAAATCATGCTAATAAAAATAATAAAATAAACTAACCTCCATATCAGATTCACTAAAAAATTTTTTCCTTCCTTCTTCTTACAAAAATAAATTTATTATACATCTCCATTTTCATTAATATTTAAGAATTCTATATATTGTTGGCTTACTAATTCTTAGCAGCTGTAAAATTTCTTGTAAATTATAGTCATTATAAAATAAATAAATTACCTTTTACCTTAAATTCTCACTTATTACACGTCTCATTACTTGAATAATAACTATGATTAAGTTACTTAAAGTATGATGCTTGTATGATTTATAAGTTTATATTGTAGTGTTTGCAAAAGAAAGTGTGATTTAAAGTGTGATTTTAAAGGTAAAACTGTAAATGTATAATTTATTTTATAATAAGAAACTATTGAAACTTGATTATATTATTTCAAATATATTACTTGTTTTGTTTAATAAAAAAAATCTGAACAATGATAGTTTGTTTTAACTTTCCCAAAGAAAATTCAAAAAATTTTTTTTTTATATGAAAGGATTAATAGTGATATAGTAGCTTGTGTGATTTTATAGTAATTGATAGATTAATTTCAACTATTTTGAAAATAATAATAATTTGCAATTTATATTTTTATGTTATATTATTCACACTATTATTATATTAACAAAATAATATTCAAGTATGAATATTATTTTCTGATAATTATTATTTTACATATGAGATTTAGAGATACGTATCTTCGTCATTTTTATTTATTTGCAAGATGCTAATAAATAATGAAATGCAATACATAATAAAATAGTGATCTAGAGACTTCTGCAAAATTTTAGTAATGCTATAAAAATAGAACTAATGGGATATATTGATAAGAAGTAATTATAAAGTAGATATAAACAATATTTCAGATTTGAAAAAAAATTTGTCTGATAAACTATCTCTTATCAATCTTAGAAATTTAAAATAAAATATCTTAAGAATGAAATCATTATAGAAAAGGAATCACAGAACTAGAATAACAATAATTAGAGCTTTAAGCAGATCAGTTCAGGTCAGGTCAATCAAGTTACCTGAACTGAGAGGATTAGATTAAGTCAAACAAAAATCTAATCTGGTTTAAATTTTCATTTGACTTGATTTGATCTGATCAAATTATTTAAGAAGAATAATTAGCTATAGTTTAAGAAGAATGATAATAAATCATTCTACATTAGCAGTTGTTATTTATGTGATTTTATATAAAAAACTTTTGTAAAATCTATATGTACAGCTTTACATAATTTTATAGATCCAATATAGATTTTGCACAAATATATATTTTATATATAAAATATATTTAAATGGATTTATTATAGATTATTTATTTAAAACCTAAATAAAATATATATACAGTCAACTCTTTCTACAACGAATTTTGATATAACGAATTTTACAATACAACGGATTTTCAGTGTTGGACAGATTTTTAAATATAAAAAAA